ATATAGATATATAGTTAATTATATCTATATATAAAAATATACATATAAGTGTATTTTAAAATTATATTAATTTTAAAATTAAGGGAAATGGCTGAGAGTGAATATAAAACTATGTAATGAAATTCAACAGTTTATAATTTTTGTTGAAGATTGTCATGTAGTAACAGAAGTAGTAAATCTTAAAACTGCATCTGGTTGCATCTGATCTCTGCAAATATAATTTTGCACTGAATGTAAAGTTATTTAAGGTTTTAATCCTTGGATTTTACCCATCTCCTGTATTTGTCAGGTAAGATACTGTACAGCAATGGTCAGCTGTGTGAAAGATGTATAAACCACCAACCAGACTAACACATTATTCTGCCTGACATGTTAGTGTCTTATGACTTTTATTATGTTCACCACATGCAATTCAGCTTTTCCAGAATTAATGTTTATGACTGTAGTTAGATTTCATTTTCCCTCAATTTATCCCTGTATCAACTACATAGATGCTTTTGATAAATAGTACTGTGGGATCATGAAAAGGAAAATAAAAAGAAAGATCTTGCTTCTTCAGATTGAAGATACAGACTTCCCTGAAACAGAAAATTCACACAGAGTATTTGTTAGGATACTTCTGTCCTAAACTTGCTTTGGATTTTAATGCAATGTACAGGACACTCTTGAGGGTGAGGGAAGCGGTCATAGCACAGTTTTGTGAGATGACCTGTCAGACAAGGGCTCTTGGTATTAGGAGATGCTGACATTTTTCCTGTGAAAACTGCTGTATTGGGGTTCCTCTGGAAAACCAGAGAAACATTTAATATGGTTTACTTATGTTCTTTTTCTTTGAATTTACTATTTTAATACTCAGCTCTGCTAACAAGCATAGTTAATGCTTCGTTATTTTAAGTTAAGAATGGTGGAATTTAGATTGCTGTTTGCTTTAAAGAGCTTTGATAAAATTTGTTCTATTGTTACTATAATTATAGAAAGGAAGTGGAGCCATTTTAAATACAGTGAAGACCAAAGCCAACCCTGCCATGAAGACTGTCTATAAGTTTGTAAGTATCAAGTACTGGCTTACTACTGAGATTAAGAGTCTAATTATGATTCTCTTTTAACCTTTCAAATGCAACTCAAGACTTACATTCATTTTTATTGGACTCGCAAAATGACTTAAAATATGCATTCATCTAAATTTCAAATTTAAATGGAAAAGTCATTTTGAAATTTAAACATAATTGAAATGCAAAGGAGAAGGGGAACTTGTGATTTCCTTTGAAAGTATAGATGATAAATTCTGTTACATAGAACTATTTCTGGGAAATAATGCCTATATGCTTTACTGAGCTGCTCTACCATCTCATCATTACTCTGTTGGAAATCATTGTTACCTCAGGTTTCTCTGCTTGCAGCTTCATCGAAATAAGGGAATCCTCTCATTTCCCAAATTGTTTCCATGTTTTTTAAACGTCAACTAATTTCCCCTAGAGATTTCTTATACCTGCTTATTTAGACCCCAACTTACTGAGTTATTCTTTAAATGAAAATGTTTCCAGTTCTGTTAACAAACAGCTAGTATGGTATTGGGTTATCGTGCATGGCTGCCAGCTCCACTGTGCAAGATAAACCAACAGAAACAAGCGATGATTGCGTGTAAGGTCAATTTTAGGAAATCATGCCACAAAAAGCATTGAGATAACTATTCAGACTTTGGTTTTCTCCTGCCTTCCTCCAGCCTGAGAGAGGTGAATAGGATGAGATTAGCTTTACTATATGGAACTACCATCTAGGGTACTGCAAGGAGCAAGTCTGCAGGCTTACTGTTCCTGTTGATTGTTAACTTACAGCAAAGATAACAACTGAGGGGGGAAGACTGAGGGTGTGGAATGCAAAAAATTGAAAGATGTCTGTGGCATCAAAACAGAGAAAACTGAATTTTTGCAACAAGGAAGGAGAGGGGAGGAATAGTGGGTTTGTTTGCGTGGAGTCTTTTTAGCTTTCTATTTGTTTTAATGCGTTTTCAGTATCCTGTTACAATTTCTTCCTTGCCATTTTTAGTAACTAGAGAAGGTGAATCCTGATGCACTGAAATCACTGCTTAGTCACTGCTAGAAGTAGAAGGGAATTTTAACTTAAATTAATTTCTCATGCAGGCAAAAGATCATGCAAAAATGGGAATAAAAGAAGTGAAAAACCGCTTGAAGCAAAAGGTACTTGAAGTCCTTACTCAAAATGTATAAGCACCATGTATGAAATACTTAGCCACAAAAAGCATTATGTGATCAATGGGAAGCTGTTTGATACAGTGTTGTTAGCACACTTCAAAATGCATTACCAGCTGTCCCAGATTTTTCACACTGTTAATAAATATTCACAGACACACAAAAAAAATTGTCTTCAGACACATTAAGGCTCTGACTTAAACCCACGAAAGCCAGAAAACTGAGTGTTCTGTTTGGAGTGGTCCCTCTCCTGTCCTTCGTGCTGGGGCATTGTGGAAACAGACTTTATGTGAACTGGGAGATCTTTCCTGTAGCAATGGCAGTGAACTTTCTGCAAATGGCAAATTGTTGTTACTTCTACAGTAATCAGTCAGGAAAAAGAGTGTATGTCTGTCCATGGGAAAAGGGTTCACGCATTTCTCGAGCGTTTGTTGCAAAGTTTAGACATAAAGGAATTAGAGTTGGTGTTCATTTCACATTTGAGTTATTACAGAAAAAAATACTCAGACTATTTGTTGTTTTCCCAACCTGTCTTTGTTTGTAAACAGCACAATTCCAAGAATGCTGAATTGTGTTTGAAGAATGTGTTATCCAATACTGATTGCTCCTTTTAAGTCAGAAGTATGGTCATATTGATACATACCTTATGAATGAATGGTCAACTACCTTGGGTAGAATTTCCTAGAACTGAGATGCTCATTCGGAAATCTTCATTCAATTTATTGCAAGTAGTTTTAGGTTGTTTGGTGTTCTTTTAATCTGCACCGTCTAAGTATATCTCTAAATTTCTAGACCATCATCTTAAGATAGCATTGCAAATGTATCCCTGTGGCTCAGACAGAAATCTACCTGCACATGTCAATAGACTGTTAATACAAAGGGATAGTTGTGGTGGCAGGTTAAGGGCTGATCAAACTGTGTGTACGATCCAAAGGCTCAGCTCTCAGCAGATTGCTAGTGATTTTTCAGGATGATAGAGTTGCTTCAGATGCTTTTAATGCTATTTTATTTTATTACACTTGCAACTTTTATACGACCACGTTAGTATAGTATGAAAATAATTAGAAACATGAAGCAGTTTCTTGTACATGGATTTTTTTCTGTAATTCCATGTGTTTCGCTTCTGGATATAACCTTCATGAATAATAAAATGTTTGGCCTTCTCGTGTGCATTTCTAAAGCAGTTGGAGCTGCGTAAAGTGACCAGATTGTTTTCCTGTGTTTTAAATGCTAATATAATTGTGTGCTATTCCCTGACATTTGTATAAAAGGCTGAGAAATGCCTCATTCATTCTTTGCATTCTTTTATTATGATGGTTGTCTTCCTAGTCCTTCAAGCAGCAAGCACTCTTTTAAAAACACACCTAACATTTACAAAGAAATGGCCCAATTTTGTTTCACCTTTCTTGTGTGGCATTACTGTAAGGAAGGTGGTTAAACATGATTTTACAACATACGTTTTCATAACAGCTTAAAGATTTCTAGGAGCAGTTGACACATACTGCTCTACCTCTCCTTTCTTCATTAAGTTTGTTCTTTTCTACCCCATCCTCTTCTCCATTTTGAACACAAGGCAGGAGAAAAACTCTAAAATGAGGTATTGCTCTGTTTGAAGTGATAAAAATAGCAAAAATTGCTTTGGCCACCCTCATATTATTTTTAATCTAAATGTCTGCACTGCTCTATTGACAGGTCTATTAGTGCATCCTCACCAATTTTCGTGTGAGAACATTGTATTTTTCATGTGTTTACTTACTAGGCTGTGCAAGTGTTAACAGTTTGAAATTCGGGCATCATTAAATCCTTAATTTTTGCTAAATTTGGGATGCTACTCTTTCATCTTCTAAGGATAACCTAAGGTTATTTTTAAACTGAACTTACTATCCACTGCATTTTAACATACTGTTTTCCATTATTAATACGAAAAGTATGCAGGCCACTGGTAAAGAAAAGTCAAATATAAACATCTCTTTTCCAGTTTTCCTGCCAAATATGAGCAGCTTCTGTACAAGATAGAATTTAAAAATGCAATAAAGCTAGAGGTCTGCTTCCTACAACTCTGCATAGCAATGGTGACCTCTTAAATATAATCAAGAGCCCATTTTGCCCTTGGTCTGCTCCAGTCTTGGGTTTGAATTGCAAATGAGAAGTGCAGGATTGACCTGTTGAGAGGTCACTGTGGTGTGTGTAAGGTCCTTCTTTAATATGATAGTAGAGATTGAATGGGGCTCTATTTCCATCCCTTGTTCATTTGTGGTACAGTATTTCAAAGCAACAGAAATAGTTTTCAGAGGATTCTTATGAGTGATAGCAAATAATTGTTAATAGATACAGCATGGCAGCTTTATTTTGTATCTGATACAGTACCTTCTTTTTTTCTTTTTCTTTCTTTCTTTGTTTTGGGGTTTTTTTGGGTTTTTTGTTTTTTGGTTTTTTTAAATTTTTGCTGCTTCTTCCCTTTTTTGGTTGGGTTTTTTTCTCTTGGATTTTTTTTTTTTTGAAGGCTGCTTTTTCCATTTCATAAATGGACCATGGTGGTCAAGTCACTCTGTTATTGGCTCTTTTGAAGCTTAACTACATAGAATTAGGGAGAAGGAGGAATATGAGTGGTACCATCCTCAACTTTCAGTAAGGAGACTGTAACTTACTGAAAGCTTCTGGAAAAGACAATTTATATAAATGGTTGGGCACTTGGCATTAATGTATTCAACAATATTTTACTTAGAGCCCTGTGTGGCTCCAGTTAATGTCTGTTATCAGTGAGCTATTGTCGGTACTTCATTATCAGTATAACTTAGAAACAACTGATTTCCAGGTTTGTAAAATAACGTGGAGAATCCTTCTAGGCACTCTGGAATGTGCTTTTCGCTCTTCTAATAGACGATATTTGTAGTCCATTACAAAAGGTACCTAGAAAAATGACTAATACTTTAAAACAGAAGAAAACCTTACTCAGTTTACAGGGTAAGCTTTACATATCACTCAATCTCTGAAGTTCTTTCTTCAAAAGGTAGTAAGATTTCACCTGAACAGACAGTTGTTAGGGGAAGCACTGTTTAAACATGGAGATAATTATGGAGCATGGTTCCCAGCTGTCTATTGCCTTGGTCAGAGCCACAGCTTCAGGCAGAACTCTGAAAGCTCTGATGTGCTGGGAATCTCCATTGTTCAGTGCAAGTCAGGTGGCTTTGAATGTGCTGGACACCTTTAGAGCATATACATAGCATGTCTGAAGCTTGATGCCCGTGTAATATGGCTGTACTTTTATGGAAATATGTACATCAAGTTGGTATGTAATGTCAGAACAGTATAGGTTGCTGCCATAGGTTCTGTGATTCCAAAACTGACCAGATCCCTTGGTAGCTTTTTGCTGGTTTGGAGCTGAAGTATGAGTTTGACAGAAGCTTGCCTTTCTTGTCATTGAGTTGGTTTGGGGCTCTTTGTTGCTAATTCAGTGCCCTTTGTTGTATTTTTTTAAGACAAGGTAGCCTTGTGCAGCTGGAGGATGGGGAGGAAAAAGTTTTTCTCTCTAGTTTAACCAAGTTGTTAATTTCCCCATGATCCTCATGCCCATGTTGGTGAACCACTGCTCTGCCAGCTGGATCTAAAAAGGTCTCCCAGCTTCTCTGTGGAGCAGACAAAGCCCCTTAGAAAGTCCATCCAGCTTTTTGTTTCATTTGACCTAAACACATTAGGTCAGTCTGTGTCCAAAAGAACCGTTTCTAATTGGCCATCAGCTTACATGTCTCATTATTGTACCTTCGCAAGGCGGAAGCTCGAGGGGGCATGTCAAAGGTCAGTGAATCAAAGCCATGGCGATGTCAGCAGCCAACCTTAGGTCAGTCTTGCAGAGCTACAGTGTGTGCAGGTTTCTCTCTATATTTACCCAGCATTATTTCCTTGACATTGTTGCAAAGAGATGTAAGGTTTGGGGCCCACTGCGTTAGAGACTATTTCTCAACTGACTTTCAAACTCTTTTCTTCTTGTCTGATTCCTTATGTCTGCATGCCTTTGTCTTTTTCAAAACCTACATTACATATACCGTACATCCACTTGCTAAGTCTTCTAGCTTAGGTTGATGGGTCACTTTACTTCTGAAGATAAGGACTAATGTCAAAAGGAAAACAAAAAAGCATTCTGCTAGGCAGCAGTTTGTTTTATACAATCTCCTGAAGGCATATTCAGTATACACAGACTCAAAGCTAAAATGCAAAGCTAAGCTATGAGTTTCACCTCCTTGCCACTTCTATAAGTAATTGTTCTGCTACAGATAATTCATGAAGTACGTAAATAGAATGACTGTTTTCATTTTGGTTTACAGCAAACAGAATAGCCCTGTTCCTGGATTCCTGTTGAATTTGTTCCTAGAACAGAAATTTTAAGCTATGGATTTATTTTTTTTTTTTCTCCTTATGTATTTTCTGGCTTTCGCATGTTTAAGTCAGACATTTTATTGAATGTCTCTGTGCAACATTGCTATTAGGAGCAGAGAGTGGTTGTGTACAAGCTCTGAATGACAAAGTGCAACAAAATATTGTAATCTAATGATGTTTTCTTTTTTTGTACTTTGGTGTTTTTTTTCCCCTAACATCAAAATTGTTAGTCAGCATTATCCTCTAGTGTCTCCTTTGTTCCCCTTACCCTTAATCAAGAATGTTCCTGTCCATGCTATTCACCTTCTCCTACCATGCAGGACATCGCTGAAAATGGGTGTTCTGCAACACCAGAGGAATCCCTACCAAGAACAGCACCTTCACCACTGGTTGAGAAGAAGGACCCTAAATTAAGAGAAGACCGAAGGCCAATCACAGTACATTTTGGTCAGGTATGTCCTAGTGTTAGGTTTCTTTAAATTGTGTCACTCAGCAAAAACGGTTCAGAGAAACGTCACAGTACGAATATGCCAAGTGTCTCATTGTTCTTTGCAACTGAATTGCGTTGTTATTGGTTTGTTTCTGATGTGTCTGTTTAAATGGGATTCTAAAACCTGAAATTTCAGGGGTTTACTTATTCTTTTTGTTCATATGATGGTTTGTTCTTAAAGCATGCGAAGTGTGATAGCCCTCAGGACTGAGGATGTATAACGTAAAATGTCCTCTTATCTAGCCAGATCATTAGTGTCAATATAGAACATCCAACTATTAAAGCATTTTAGCATTCTCTGAAAATTGAATATGATGAAGTAAGATGGAAAAATCAGTTAATAGCTTATTAATGTTCTCTGTATTTCAGTATTGACAGCTGAGCTATACGCATTAGTTACTCTTACAATGTTTCTTTTGATAAGTCTGCAAAAGAGTGAGTTTGGTTGTGTGGTTTTTGTAAGAGCTAGTTATTTAGAAAATTTTGTAGTTGCTGTGATTTTCATGGAAAAACATACAGTATTTATTATCAGTTTACCAGTGTTCTCCTGTGAAGTGCAGCCTGACTCCAAAAATACCATTATTTGTGTTCACAGTTCTCTCTTCTTTCTCCATACCTATTTTTTACAATATAATGATCAGAAAACAGGAGGGAATATCTGATTTCTTCGAAGGAAACATAGTGTAACTTGAAAATGAATGTAAAATGCTGGAAATTATAAGATGTGAAGCAAACCAGATTTTTAGATAAGTGTCTGTAAATAGCAACTAGTTGATACAGCTGCATTGACTGCTCAGGTATTGGACAGGGCTACATGAGATACAGTCGTTGCTCAGAGCAATGTTGTCTGAATCATTTTAGAATTAGCTTTTTTCTTTCAGAACTTTTACCACTGTGAAATGAAAGTTCTTGGATACTGTTTGTTTTTATTTTAACTGTTTCTCTTCCAGTCAAGTGTTTGCAGGAGGCATTTATTTTTCACTTACTGTCTGTGCCAATACACTTCAGAGGAATTGGGGCTACTAGAGAAATGTAGCCATCTAGCAGGAAAGTGTTCCGTTTTGTTTAAGGCAGTCAGAAATCCAGATAATATTATAATCTGTGTTGTGTTTTGTCTTTTAGGTTTTGATGAAGGATGGTTGGTTCAGATGTTTTGGTAGATTAATGAAATAGATAATTGAGTGGAAAGTGCAGATTTAAATTCATGAGGTTTTTTTTTAATGGTCACTTTCAAATTTCTTAATGATCGCTTTCTCTGTGTCAAAAGAAACACACATCAGCTTTCCTGAGCCACTGGCTGTGGTGAAGGGCTCGCTTGCTAAATGCCTATTGCTGTCACTACATTACAAATGTTGGTTTCCAAAAAATGATCTAACTTAGCAGCTGTAGGGCTATCTCACCTATAGCCTTTGTCCTTTCACAGGGCTGCTTTTTTTTCCTGCTAGCCCAATGTCAAAAAGGAAATGAAATATACTTTCATTCAAAAGGAAAAGATGTTCAGGTTTATGAAATATAAATTAAGGCTTTGGGGAGAAAAAAACAGCACCATTTACTGTTTAAAGGGGAGATAGCTTCTAACTAGTGATTAAAGGGGGAGATTTTAGTGTCACTTTTAACTCTGTCTAGAATACAGTAGGTGGGAACAATTAAAAAGCCACAAGAACTCTGAAATAAGGGCTGTTTGTGCATTCACAGCTCTTATAAACTGAAGAGGATGAAAGAGGCTTTTTTCTCATTGTCACTTGCTTTCTACGTCTGGTAGTATTATGCCAGTGTATATGGCAAAGGCAGACTTTTTTAAAATGCATGCATGCGGATTAGGGTCAAGCCCTGTGTATCAGTAATGCAGTAAGCCTCGTCCATAGCACTGCAGTGAGAGAGCCTACCAACAGCAGCGAGATGCTTTAATTGAGACATGCTGTCAAAGTGACAAACACATTTGCATACAGTCTATTTATTTTCGTTGGAAAGGTCTGCAGTCTGCTGTTGGTTGAACATTCTTAATCAGCTCGCTGTAAGTGAGCCGGCAGCTAGCTGTCCTATGCTAGGTGCTTCTCTTCATTACATGACAGATTAGCTAAAGGGGGATGGGCTAGCAAGCCAGCAGCAACCTTTAATTTTAACTCATTATCTCTCACCCTATAGTGAGGTAGTTTCTAGCTTTTCCAAGTACAGTTGTGTAGGTGCAGTTGTTAGGCTACAAAAAGTATCAGGAAAATCTCTTGCAATGTCTTTGAATGCACAGGACCTCAGCTGATTGCTCTCAGAGATTTAGCAGCAATTACCTAGCTGTGTGAGGTTCTGTAGTGGTGTAGCTCATTGCGGCCAGTGGTTATCAGGTATTGCTTGAGAGGATTGTTTATTACAGAATTGTTTTAACAGTGGTTTCCTTATGACTAAGACATTGTGGGAAATCTCTCCTTGATGGTGCAAAGAAAGATTTAGCCCTACAGCCTAGGGCAATGCAATAAAGATTTAAACAAAACAGAAGGGAAAGTGTGACCACAGCTCTTTCTCCAGTTTGACTTTGCATGCTTTTTGGTTTAATCAGCGTGTACCGTTAATATTGACCCTCAGATCAACCAAATATAGGGAACTGTCGTCATGGGCTCTGAGGCAATACAGCTGTACTCAACAAGTAGCAAGAGCAATACAGGCAAGCAAGGTTTAATGAGTGGGGAGAAGAGGGAACAGTTGTCAAGCCAAGAAAAAGATTGAAATGAGTAGTATGTAGTGCTAAATAGTACTCTGTTTTGGGGAAAAGTAAGGTTAATTATAGAAGATGCCATGCAAGAGAAAGCATCCTTTGCAAATGTGTTATCATTGCTTGCTTTCTTCCAGCTTTTTGTCTTAAAACCTTCTTGGGCAGTAAAGGGATCACTGTATTTTCCAAAACATGCCAGTTTTTCTCCTCATGAAGCTTCTGCTTCTATCCACAAACCTTCCCACCCCTCCACCCCTAGCTAAGCGTTCATGCTATTCTTAGGAAGTGGTGCGCTCTCTGCCTCCTGTCTCGTACAGGATCATTGCCGATGCCCAGGCTTTTCCCATTAGTTATTGAGAGGGGGTATAAGCACAAGAGGGGGTGAGCCCAAAGTCTGTGAAGACAAAGCTATACCTAGGAACATTCTTTTCTCTTAGCACAACTTATCTAGAACAATTAAAACAACAAATGATAAGCTGTCAGAAACATCATTTGTTGGGAAAGTCTATCATTTCATTAGGAGTGCAATATACTGGCAGTTCTGTTCAGCACTTTATTTGTTTCTATTATAATTAGAATGTCTTTTGTCAGCTTAGGTGTGTTTATGTTTCTGTGGCTTGTTCTATTTACCAGAAAATAGAATATTTTATTCCATTTATGTACCAAAAGGGAAAGCTTAAGAAAAGACGAAAGACTTTTCCAAGTGTGTCTTTACCTGAGAGTTGAAATCATACTCCATTCTTGAAGAATTAGGGAGCTAATGTAAATAACTATGAAATAAATGGAAAATATACTCATGTATTAAAGCAGCTTATCTGATTGTGAAAAGATTTGTCCACATTCTCTTCCCAGCTGATTCTTACTGCTGTTGAACTTTCGCAGGCCATACTATGGAAATTGCCATCTTATTTGCTGGTTTGATGATTTTGCTGTAAATGAACATATTAATTTTTCCCATTCATGATCTGCATTTAGACATGCAGAACAAACAGCTCTGCTTTGCAGGGCAGGTTTCTTCTTCAAGAAGATTAAAGGGCATTAAGAGGTCAGGGGGAGATGGGGAGAAAAACAGCCAGCTACATTCCAGAAATGCAAAACTGGATCACTGAGGCCAGAGGCAGCAGGGAGGGATTATCTCCAGGGTAAAAGAGATGAAGCAAGGAAGGGAGGAAGGCTCCTTTGCCAGACCCTGTGACTCCCTTCACACCCAGGTGCATTGGAACAATAGCAGATTCCCCTGGATCACAGCAGGCATTGTGTGGCACTGAGGTAGAAACCAAAGGGGAAAGGGGAAAACAAGTTCATTTTCTAATATTCCTGCAACTGTATGCTCTGGCTGCAAAGCCAGCCTCCTGTTCTTGCCACTCTGAACTGTTCTGACAATAGAGATCCTTCATTAAGAAAATGAGCTTCCATTCTACTCGTCCCCACTTACGAGAGCAGTATGGTCTCCCTGTTCCTTTCTGCTGAGCCGTGTGGAGTTCCTCCCTCTCTCCATTTGATTCTTTATGGATTTAGCAAAAGTGTAAGTCCAGGTCTTTAAAATTATTTTGTCTTCAGAAGGCATATTTTCTACCCTCATTTCTTCTCACTCCTTTCTTTTCCTTTCAGAAAGGAATTCACTGTTGCTTAGTAAAAGTCACCTTGCAAGAAAGGCAAATGTATTGGCCCAAAACCACTTGTCCATCTAATGCCTATTTGAGACTACTCAAATATCCCATCAGGTCCCCACAGGGGACCATGTTCTTAGGGGAATAAAAACCAATGTCAATAATTCATTTGATTGAAATTCTGCTTTGCGGTGTGCAAGATTTGCAGAAATGGCAATCTATGGGACAGGAGTTACCTGACTAAAAAGGCTTGCACTCTTGTCATGCGTGTAAATATTTGACAAGCGAGACCTGGCGCTCTCTTTAGGAAGATGTACACTACCTGCAGAGCAGCCCCAAAGGTTACTGCCTCCTGTGCACTCACTTGCAGTGTTTTCTAATGAGCAACAGGACAGCTATTGTCTTGTGCAGCGACTACAGCAATGTAGCATGTCTGTAGCTCATGCTATGTAGGGAATTCATGCTTTGCCATAAGATTATGTGATTCCAGTCCTGCATCCAACAGATGTATTCATCCACAGAAAAAGCACATCCTGGGCTGTTGCTTTTAGTGTTTTCCAACTGTCTTGGCATTTTAAGCACTTCTTAAACAGGGATGTTCAGAGTAAATATACTGCCCTGGGTACATGTGAGTCAGATGCCATAACG